ATAGTCCATAGCGGGGGGCATAGCGGCCCCTCCCCTATTCGGCCGCCCTAAATAGATCTCTGAATGGTATAGTCCATAGCGGGGGGCATAGCGGCCCCTCCCCTATTCGGCCGCCCTAAATAGATCTCTGAATGGTATAGTCCATAGCGGGGGGCATAGCGGCCCCTCCCCTATTCGGCCGCCCTACATAGATCTCTGAATGGTATAGTCCATAGCGGGGGGCATAGCGGCCCCTCCCCTATTCGGCCGCCCTAAATAGATCTCTGAATGGTATAGTCCATAGCAAGGGGCATAGCGGCCCCTCCCCTATTCGGCCGACCTAAATAGATCTCTGAATGGTATAGTCCATAGCAAGGGGCATAGCGGCCCCTCCCCTATTCGGCCGCCCTACATAGATCTCTGAATGGTATAGTCCATAGCGGGGGGCATAGCGGCCCCTCCCCTATTCGGCCGACCTAAATAGATCTCTGAATGGTATAGTCCATAGCAAGGGGCATAGCGGCCCCTCCCCTATTCGGCCGCCCTACATAGATCTCTGAATGGTATAGTCCATAGCGGGGGGCATAGCGGCCCCTCCCCTATTCGGCCGACCTAAATAGATCTCTGAATGGTATAGTCCATAGCAAGGGGCATAGCGGCCCCTCCCCTATTCGGCCGCCCTAAATAGATCTCTGAATGGTATAGTCCATAGCGGGGGGCATAGCGGCCCCTCCCCTATTCGGCCGCCCTAAATAGATCTCTGAATGGTATAGTCCATAGCGGGTGGCATAGCGGCCCCTTTTCCTATTGCCCTCTCCCCCTAATGTCAATAACAGAGAGTACCTCGTCTGTGCCACCGCCGGGCCGTGGGTCTCGTCGAACATCATTGGAGGTGAACACTGCTAGACTTTACTTCCTATCGGTGCTTGTTGTTCAGGGGATAATTATAGAGACAAGGCAAACTCTGCGATGGCTTGGTTCGACTATACAGGCTGTTGACAATAGGAGAGTTCGAATAGTTTATCTGTGCGCTTCGGCCACCGGCATCTCTGGGGTTTGCCTTATTGCTTCAATCTATTCCTTCGCGCAAGTGGAGGTTCCTGTTCCACCTAATCCGAAACAGCTGGTTGATGCTAATCCTGATCTGGTCTTCATCCCACCCGAGGTCGAATATGTATCCGATCCTTGGAGTATCTTCGCTGCGATTGTCTACGGCCTTGTCGCACTCGCTGCTGGGGTGATGCTGCTGAGGAGATTCAATATGCTCTTCAAAACCCTCTTGAAGACCTCTACTGTATCGAAAGCTTTGCGCAGATCTTCGGCTTATAGGACGCGTTTGAGCGGCGGCAATAATATACGGCCCATGAACGAGCCAGAAGAGTCTGTCAAGGAACCGAATGCTCTGACGAAGGCTGCGAAGACGCTAGTCATGACTTCCGATAAATTCGAAATCTCAGGCGAGTGGTTCTGGTATCGACACGTGGCTTCGGAGACTCTTGAAGTTACAATGCAGCTATTGCAGCTAGTCAGCTTTGGAGGTTCAACGTGGTCTGATAGTGAAGGTGCTACTGGCGTTGTAAAACCACCAGGGACCATTATGGCTCAAGCATGTCTTCTGGCATTCAATATTACCTTCGCACCCATGGTATACTTCTATCAGAATAGGCTCATTGCACTGGGTGGTGATGTCCTCTCTGATATTGGCTACGTATTGGTTCAATTGAGCGCTATCAGCTCTGTGCAGAACCCTCGTTCATGGCACGTGCTACGGGCGAAGAACTTCATGGCTTTGCTAACGAGTGTTTTCCCGTTCGGCCAGTCATTGCATGACATCCACTCTATGTGGGACTATCTGATGCTTTCGGCGAGCGGTCGAGCTTCATGTAACGAAAGGAACAGGTCATTCAGCATTTGTCGTATGGCAATAGCCTGGGTGTTGTCTCTCTCGCTGAGTATTGCTCTCATATCGTTCACTGCTTATCAAGAGTATGGTTGGGATTGCGACGCTGAGGTGGTCAACTACAGTAAGGACTGTCACATACAAGTGCATCCTCTGCTGGCTTTCCCTTCTTGTGACTGCCGTATGGTTCATCTCACTCCTGATGAGAACTGCTCTATTCCGATAGTTGATCGCATTCAATCGTACACGAGGATTGAGTATTTCTCAAGCGCTCCAAGAGAATGGTTACAGACCTGTGATTTCACCTTTGGGCAGACAGAACTCAACGCATTGGAGATTTATGGAGATTCTCTCACATCTGTTATGCTACCAAACGCTGACGGCGTTACTCAAATCGACTTGAGAGGGCTGGCGAACCTACAGGTCCTTTCAGTGACCTTTGACGAAGTCAGCTTTATCTCACCTGCATTCATACGAGATTCGCCCAAGCTGAGGTTTCTCAGTTTCGAGGTTAACAAGATTGAGTCGTTGCCATCTAACATCCGGCAACTTCAACATCTCGAAGAGCTAGTGCTGAATATCAACCCCATTTGCTCTAATGCGACGGCTTTAGAAGAGTTCACCTCAGTACCCATAGTTTGTACTGACTCGACGGGAACCAATTCTACAGAGCGTTGTGCAGTACGGGCCGATGGGTCTGACGATCCTGGCGAGTTGCTAATCATAAGGGCTTGTCAGCAGCTAGCATCGACCGGATATACAGCGGAGTGCAAACCTCAGTGTCCACCTGTTGTTTCCATCGTGAAACTGGTTGATCTTGATGGTGATGGCGTTCTCAGCTACTCCGAGACAATGTCGGCTTCGGTATTGTTTGGATTCGATACGACGATGAATGAAGAGGAAATGGCGTGTGCCATCAACCGCTGTCCTGCCGTCATATCTCCTACTTATGATGGTGTCGGCTACCCTGTCACAGACGTGGCGTTCTTCGCGCTCGTGAGTTCTAGCGTTGAGAATTCTTGAACTGAATGGTCATGTTTTAGGCCGGACTTGGTGGAATATCAACTTGCCGTGATTGTGAACAGTAATTCTCATAGTTTGAGAAGTCGGCAGCAGTTTATCTTGTTGGAGGACTACTTGAGTGAGGCATGCGATTATATTAAAAATTTATCGTGTTGTCTGATTCGGAACGTGTGTTGCGTTCGGAGTACTGTAGTGAATCACTACTAGTGATGAAGAGTTAGCAGGAATTGTATTTGCATGACGAAGATAATAAATGAACGAGTTGGGTGTGAAGGAACGACCAAAGAGGAGTGTTATGAAATAGATCTTGATCTCAGTTACAGTACATCACCCATAGAGTGTAGTTAACCTGGATGGTATAGGGTTCGAACTTATGCTTCAGTGTTGCGAATTGTCTCGAGGAGAAGAGATTTGTGAGTGTTGTAGAACTAAATTGTGTAGGTGGTGGTTCTGGTGATCTTGGAGACTTTACATGTGGCTTATGCGCTTCTATCGGGCATATGGCCCGCAATTCCTATTCGAATACAACAGGACGTTAGCATCTCGAAAGTTCTCTCTCAACCAAAACACCCGAACAGTATACGATTCGACAGCGACGAGAATACAGGCGCTTGCCATGAGAGGACAACCCGTCTTCATGTAACAAAGCGAAGAAGAAGCAAATTCGGACTGGTCGTAAATAGGACTCTCCGTAACCGATTCAGTAGAGCGTAGAAAACTCGTAAACACCACTGCAGGGTGTACGAGAAGTCTAACACAATTCCGACAGACCTTCAGCGTGTCGGGGACGACTTCATTGTGTTAGAGGACACAGGATAGCGGCAAAGACGGGGATTGGTTCACGATGCAGCTCCCTTACCAACAAGCTTCAATATTCCGTTTTCTTCACAGGCATATCATATGAATGTGGCGAGATAATTGTATAGTTAAGGTCTCCTGGAACGGACTACTTTCGGCGAACTCCCATCCTAGAAGTTTTGACAGACACGAGAGTTTCGATCAAATCGATCATCTGGGCGTAGCGAGATACGCATCCTTGTCGGATCGCTCATTGGCTGCATCATAACATTGCATCAATCTTGTACGTCAAGATGCCGATTGTTTGATGAGGTCTCACATTCTAAATGACGTGTGGGGGTAGCCCTTGTAGTTTAGTCTTACTCGTAGGATAGTTTCCAGCGCGTTGTGGAAAAACTATGCGCGTTTTAGGACGCCACGAGCTACTAATTTTGGTGATGAAAATTGAGTGTGATTTTGAAAACTCTCGAGGGGTATTGAGGAGTGTCCTTACTGGTCCTTCTTCTTATTGGTTGTCTTACTTCTAGGCAGTGTATTTGTACACATATGTCACCTTCGACGACCATGTCTAATCAGACCGGGACCGTGATTCGCCCCCCTCATCCGGGGCACTTCCTTTTCACGTCCGAGTCGGTCAACGAAGGGCATCCCGACAAGATCTGTGACCAGGTCTCTGATGCTGTTTTGGACGCTTGCCTTGCACAGGATCCCGACTCCCGTGTAGCCTGCGAGACTTGCTGCAAAACCGGCATGGTGATGATATTTGGTGAGATCACCACACACGCTAAGGTTAGTATTTATACCTCATACCGTAAATCGAGTATATCGTCGTCTTATAGGTGGATTTCGTGCAAGTTGTCCGTAACGCCTGCAAGGAGATTGGTTACGATGATGAAGCTAAGGGTCTCGATTACAGGACTATGGAAGTCCTCAACAAGCTCGAGGAGCAGAGTCCTGAGATCGGCCAGTCTGTTCACGGACTGGGAACTAAGGCAAGCAGCTATTTATGATCATAGTATATGATTGTTGCTGTCGTTAGGCCCCTGAGGAGATCGGTGCCGGAGACCAAGGTCACATGTTTGGTTACGCTTCTAATGAGACTCCTGAACTCATGCCTTTGAGCCACAGTCTAGCCACTAAGCTGGGTCATCAGCTTACTGTTTGCAGAAAGAACGGTACCGTTAAGTGGTTAAGACCTGATGGAAAGACTCAAGTAACTGTAGAGTATACTAAAGGCACTAGTGGGGAGATGATCCCCGTTAGAGTCCACACCATCCTTATTTCTACTCAACACTGGTAAGTTGTATATCATCACATTGAGTTGCTGCTTTTATCTCCATCGTTCTTTTGTCATCAGCCCTGAAGTCAGTCAAGAGCAGATCCATTCGGATTTGATGGAGTATATAATAAAGCCTATTGTCCCTAAGCAGTACCTTGATGAGGAGACCATATACCACTTGAACCCCAGCAAGTCGTTTACTATTGGTGGACCTCATGGTGATGCTGGTCTTACTGGTCGTAAGATTATCATTGATACTTATGGTGGCTGGGGAGCACACGGTGGTGGAGCTTTCTCTGGCAAGGATTCCACTAAGGTGAGGAATTTTCCAAGGTACGTTCGTGGCTTATCTGGTGTGATCAGGTTGATAGATCGGCAGCATATGCAGCTCGATGGGCAGCAAAGTCCCTGGTCCATGCCGGACTGTGTCAGCGTTGCTTGGTCCAGGTCAGTTATGCTATTGGAGTTGTCCAGCCATTGAGTCTCTTCGTGGACTCGTAAGTGCATTCGCATCTGCTTCTCCTCGTCGTGCTATGATGGTTGTTATGTATAGGTATGGTTCGGCGATGCCTGGCCTTTCTGATGAGGATTTGTGCGATATCGTCAAGCGCAATTTCGACTTCCGACCTGGCTGCATACAGAGGGACTTGGAGCTTAAAAAACCTCAGGTATTTGAATATTACGGTAGCGATGTGTTTAGACCCGTTTTTCGTTTCAGTTCCAAAAGTTGGCTGCCTATGGTCATTTTGGTCGTAACGATTTGATGCCAGCTTGGGAGGTGGTGAAGGATTTGGAGGGCGAAGTGGCTGAGGCCAAGAAGAAATGTTCGAAGTAGTTTATGCTAGTTTTCCTGTCACGCTCACTACTACAACGATGCGTGTATTATCGGCGCTATGGTATTGTACTACCAAACTCTCTATGAATACCAGCAGCAATTGATTTTCCTCGTATGAGGAATTATGGCAACTCTCATTGAGACGGTTTATAAGGCGAGTTTCCAAGCACTAAAGCTCGGCACAATCGCTATAATGGTATATATAATATCATGGTCATCATCATCAATAGCGTTGATAATAAAAGATTATTACTACTTGTAGTGAATAGTTGTTGACAGTCGTGTTAGTGTTCTTAGCAGTACTAGTGGTGAGTAATTAGTGGTGGAGGTGTGGTATGGGTTGAAGATATTTATCTTCACCCAAGCCTCGCCGCTACTATAGTTTCTGACTAGTGTTGCTGTTGTTACTTCCATTTCACAGTACTCGTGGTGAATACTGCTGCCACTTAGGGTCTTTACGTTCTGCTTATATTTGACTTCATCATCATTACTACTCTCTGTGTTACAATATCGATCGTCTCGTGCTTGCTCTCCATCATTACTGACTGTTTCGAATCTGTCGGTAGTGTGAGATGCCAAGTAGGAGATTATGGGCTATGTCGGGCAGGAATAAGATTAATGGTGATTACTAACATGTTGGGTTGACAGTTATCAATTAGAGATAAACTGTGATGGCCTTACGGTGTTAGTCTGTGAGGCGGTGTGGAAGGCCCGAGGTTTGCAACGATGGGAGGCTAAGACATTGAGAATAATTACGGTAGATGTTCCAATGTGAGTTATGAAGGGACCGCAGCGTGGGAGGGTAGGTTGTCGTCAATGAGGAAATTGTGATGATTTCTAGTTGGTTTTTTGTCATTCTTACTCCTTATCGTGAGTGAATCTTTACAGTGTGGGGTAGAAGGTTTTGAGCTCAGTTGAGGAAATCGGGCATATTATACATCCGCTAGTTTACATATTATATGAAATTTTCAACACCGTTTTGTATCATCGAAGTCTTTATTGGATATACCTTAGGAAAGCCTAGTTGAAGTCACTGTGATGGTGGTTGGTATATGTCTTGTATTGATGGTAAGCAGACCTTCCATGATGAGGGGTGTTCATCTCACAATAAGTGTATATCGGAGGTATATGGTCGAGCTCTATAAGCTCTACTTGGCTAATTCTGAGGGCTCTAAGTGGTTATGGAGGAGGACGAGCGGTAGTGATAGTAGCACTTGGGGGGTTTACGGTAAGAACTGGATGAAGTTATCATTGGTCGCGCATGTTCCTAATGGATGCAAGCAGTGAGTGATTAGGTAGTATATCGGTTACAGTTGACTTGGCTGAGATGTTCGAAAGGCCATTGTGGAGTTATGGCCACCTCGAGGAAGGAAAACGTCTTCAATAACTTCACAAAGAAATTTCTCAAATTTCCTCGCATAGTTCAGGGGTTTCCTCACTCATTATCGAAGTTTGT